AAATTTATATAATGTTATAAACCCATGTGACCTCAACAAATAAATAAAACTCTATTGAACGCTCCTGAGAATGAGCACGAAAAAGGCAAATAATGTCAAGAGTGCTATTATGAAAACAGTTTTTACCTTGTGGACTCCTTGAAAAGCTCTTGGGGACCCCTCATGAATGCCTGGAAAACTACCACTTTGCATTTTACAAGGTAGAATACATCAACTCTCAAATAACTTTGACTAAATTGCCAAAAGAACCTTGGAAGACTTCACCACCTCAGGCGTGAGTTAGTACTAACTGCCTGAGGGGGAAGAAGAGGGCTTCAACTGACCAACTTACTCTAACAGGAGCAATTCATTAGCTCTACCTGTACCTTCACCTGGTCTGGGGATGAGCTCCACTGAGAACCGGCCCCAGGTTCCTGCCATGCCTTGGCATCAGTCAAGCCATCCTTGTTTCAGGCACTTTTTTTTCTTTCTTTCTTTTTTTTAAGGTATTATTTTTTTTTGGTAAGATCAGCTCTGAGCTGATCTTACCTCCATCCAACATCCATGCTGATCCTCCTCCTTTTGCTGAGGAAGACTGGCCCTGGGCTAACATCCATGCCCATCTTCCTTTACTTTATATGGGACGCTGCCACAGCTTGGCGTGACAAGCGGTGCCTCGGTGCGCTCCCAGGATCCGAACCCGGGCCGCCAACAGCAGAGCGCACACACTTAACCGCTATGCCATGGGGCCGGCCCCTCTTTACTTTAATTTTAGGTAATCTGTGACCTCCCTGCCACTGCCCTAAGGCAAGTTGATTCTATTATTTTATATTTAAAAAAAAAAAAAGAAAAAGCACATTAATGTCACTTTTTCTAAACCAATAACAGCTATATAGTATGAAATTCCACACTGAACCCTTTATTAATTACACTCTTGAATTTTAAATTACTTCTAAACAGCTGTTTCTAAAAGTGTGCATGGAATTTATAAATATGATGAATGGGAAATGTACGATTTAACAGCATTAAATATATCTATCATTGTTAGTTAGCAATGTTAGTTAACTTTTGAAGAACAGATTGGTAATGTTACCTTTTATCGACCTTCCCTACAACCCATTTACAGAAAAAAACTAATTATAATTAATAAGCCTAAAAATACTGTTATTAATTCAATAAACACCTCTGGAAACTACTTCTTTAATTAACTCTGGACATGGTAAAAAAGAAACTGTCAAATACAGCAGAATTTGAAATCCTATCCTATGGAGATCGGATCTGGATTAAAAAGTTAAGACCTTGAAGACATTATGTTAAGTAAAATAAGCCAGACATAAAAGGACAATTATTGTATGATTCCACTTAAATGAAGTACCTAGTAAAAGACTAATTCATGGAGACTGAAAGTGGATTAGAGTGGGGAGGGAGTTATTGCTTAATGGTTAGAGTTTTTGCTTGAGGTAATGAAAAAGCTTTGGGAACAGATAGTAGTAATGGTTGCACAACATTGTGGATGTAATTAATGCCACTGAATTATACACTTAAAAATGGTTAATCGCAAATTTTACATTACATATATTTTACCAAAATTTAAAAATTAATGTAATATACCAAAAACCATTGAATTATGCACTTTAAATGGATGAATTGTAGGGTATGTAAATTATACCTCAACAAAGATGTTTAAAAAACAGTTAGGAAAAGTTCATAATTTGGTCTTGAAATACTCAAAGAGTTCTTATAGAAAAGGGCACAGATTTGCTCAGTGCGACCCTAGGGACAAAACTAGGACCTCCAAAGCATAAATTACAGGGAGGCATATTTCCACTCAATACAAGGAAGAAACAATGCCAAAGCCGTCCAAAATTCTCAAGTGTCCCCTCACAAAGGAGAGAACCATCATTGGAGGTGTTTTAGCAAAGGTCCAACTTTCAGGAATGCACAGGACCCCTAAGGGTCCATAAATACCTTGATGGTGGAATGCAAAATTGTGTGTCTATGTCTTTTCTCAAGGTAGAGTCTTTATGTTAGATTCTCAAAAGGGACAGTGACCTCAAAAAACGTTAAAAAGCCACTAACATTGAGAGAATTCCAGCATTTCAAGGGATACTGCACTAGATCTAAAAACTCCTTCCAAATCTGAGACTGTAAGCCCCTATACGTCATACTCTCTCCTAAAGAGTGTCATGAAAAGAGCATTCACTGCATATGGACACAAATGACCTGTGGTCCAGAACTGACTAGCGGTGCCCTCATTGTGCAAATGAAATATACTCCCAAGAATGCCCTTGGGCTTAAATTTGGGCAAAGGAAGATAATGCTTAATGAGGTAAAACCCAGTCAGATTCAGATGTTCCTCTTCTCCGCTCCCATAGAACCCAACAGCTATTCCTCACTCTCCTGAGCTAGTTTCTCCTCATCTCCCTGAACTTGAAACACTAGGGAAGGCCCAGGGCTCAATCCTCAGACCCACTCTGCATTATTTACTCGGTACCATGGCTTTGCATATCTTTCAGAACACCGGTATTTACAATCTCCAGTCTGGAAGTCTCTGCATTCCGGACTTGTGTATCTTTTTACGGTTTTAGCTCTTAAATATTTAGGTCATTGACCTAAATATGGATCATTTTGAGTTCATTTCTGGATATGGTATAGAAAAAGACATCTATTCTTGAACCTATCAGGCCTCTCGAAATTCTCATGTTCCAAACCAAACTTTTTATATTTCTCCACCAAACCTGCTCCTCCTAGTCTTCCACAGCTCAGTAAATGCTCAGGTTAAATATCTTCAAGTCATCCTTGACTTCTCTCTTTCTCTTACAACCCACATCTAAACCATTAACAAATCCTGTTGGCTTCACCTTCAAAACACATCTCAAATACAACTTACCACCTCCTCCTCTACTAACCTGGATTATTGCAAATGCCTTTAACTGGTCTTCTTGCTCTCACCTTTGCTTCCCTACAATCTATTGAACAAGCAGCCAGTGATCCCATTTAAAGTTTAAGTCTCTCTGCTCTAAGCCCTTCGATGACTCTCTATATCACTCAGAATAAATGCCATAGGGCTTTCCATGGTCCACGATGCCCTACACAATTTGCCCCTACCCACACATACACTTTTCTAGTCTCATCTTCCCCCCCGTCTCTCCTTCCTTAAACCAGCTCTAGCAGACCACAGTCGTCTGGCTGTACCTCTAACAAGCATGCCCTGCCTTTGCAATAACTGTTTCCACAGCCTGGAATGCTCTTCCCCTAGATATCTCCCTGGCTGGCCCCCTCCTGTACTTCCGGTCTTTGCTCAAATTCACCTTAGTGAGGCCTTCTCCGATCACCCTACTTAAAGCAGCAATTGTGCCTCCCCTGCCACTCCTCATTCCCCTACCCCCAACATTGGCTTTTTCTTCCTAGTACTTAGCACCATCTGACTCACTGTACGCTTACTTGTCCATTTTCCCCCACTCGAATGTAAACTCCACGAGAGTACGGTCTTTGTTCATCTGTACACTCTTAGTGCTCAGAAGAATGCCTAGCACATAGTAGGCCTTTACTAAATATGTGTGGAACTAATAAATAAATAGCGTGCTATAATATAATCACCTGCCTATCTGTCTCCTTAATGGACTGGGAGCTTTCTGCAGGCAGCGACACTGCCTCATTCACCTCTGAATTTCCAGCGCCTAACAACGGTGCTCGGTACATAGTAGGTAGGTATTGACTGGAAATGAATGAATCCACAAGAGGCCCATGAAACATCCTCAGCCTTTCAAACACAGTCTCTACGCTACCACTCTCTAAATGTAAGTCAGATGAGAGTGTGGGTTGCCTCAAGGAAGAGGTTTCAATACCAACTCCTGCGCCCTCCCGCGTAAGTCCCCCCGTCCCGCCGTTAGCCCCACAATAACCAAGTGCGATAATGAGTAACGGTCAGAGCCAGAAGTTGAACCATGAACAAGTGCGAAGGAGGGAGTGGTTGTGACTTCAGATCAAACAAGGTGGCCGGACTCCAAAAAGAAACACCGTCCCGGGGGTGGTGGGAAAGAGAGGGAAGGGCCCGGTGACCACAACCAGAGGATCCAAGTCCCTCTTTTGACAGCTGAGGAAACTAAGGCCCAGAGAGGAAAGCGTCTTGCCCGAGGTCACACAACACCCTAACCAGGGCGAGAACCCACCGATCCCGCCCGCGCGCCGCCCCAGCCGCTTATTTCGGGAGGTGCCCTCCGCGCCGAGCCCCCGCCGGCGCACGTGCTCCGGGATCCCCCGGGCGCCCGCCCGCCCGCCC